ATGTCGCAATACCGACCGTTTTGTCGTCGTATATGTATTAGATATGTCTTATGGGAGTTGGTATTTGAGGCTATCATTAGATCTTGAACAAGAGTGGTAGTCACTCTAGTTTGCTTTGGCTGATGAACGAGTTATGTTGAATCTTTCCACAATGACTCACGATGTCGTCGAACTTTACTCAACCCCAACTTCCGAAATGTTTTCTCAACTGGGATTCTTGCTATTTCGACCTCGCTCTGGTCTTATCACAATTTTGGAAGCGAATCAAATCCAGATAGTGTAATGCATATTTTTTATTTGTTAATGCTACACCAAATTGTCAAATTTGCCAGTAGGTCAAAGTGCAGACATGACTGTCAAGGCATTCCTTTACATTCGGGCAAACTGGCATGCATCGTCTTCCCATATTCGACCCATTAGTCACGACGTTGAAATTAACTGGCATTATGGCCATGCAGGGATGAATATCAAGTCGTTGTAGTGACCACTTAGGTCTGAGATAGAGCCCAACGGACAGATGGTGAAACTAGCCTGCGCCTCGTAGATGTGCGTCAGAGAAGTAGATCCGTCGTAAAAAGGCACAACCTGACCTGAATTCTAAAAAGCCAGGTTACATTCGACTATAGATTAAAAGCGTGAACAGTTAACCTCGCGCAAGATTGGTCCTTTTCGTAGAGCCAATCAGATGCTTAAGCAGGCCCAGTAACATCCCATCAGTCGCTGGGCCGATATTTATCGCTCCACACGTTCCTCCGCCTCATCGCTTTGACCTCGTCTCCGCACCAGCTTGTGTCGCTGATCTCTGCTTCGACGCAATCATGCCTACATCCGAATACCCATGGCTCGGATCCAATATCACCCTGATTGGAAGCCAGGAGGATAGAACACTCAAGAGTAGGCTTTTTACTTGAACCCTTTATCGACTTGGCAACATTCAGTATCTGGTACTTTTGATTAAAATAGGTATCAAATCTAAGTTTATTTAATGTCTTCTTTAAAATTTCTATGACACTCAGCTAAATTTCACATTCATGGTTTCGTATTCAAAGCTTTTGCTATTGCATTTAGACTTGCCCTGATGCACAGTCGCCTCTTCTGGCGTTACATTTATGGGTTCACCTACTCAACACTCGGAAGCGGACTCGAAGGACATGGAAGGACACTAGATACAATCGCAGAATCTCTCGATAACTATGGCCAATCTGCTGCACCGAGGTGATGTCGAGTCTGTAGGGTGTACTAATTGAATGGTTCAGCAGCCTTTAGGCAAGATACGCCATCGTGTATATAAAGCCGAAGATAGTGTGACCTCAGGCTTGGTCGCACTCCCCCTTAGCTAAATAATATTGGTTTGGCCTTATTTTCGCAGCTTGCTGAGTATGATATTCATGGTATTTCCCAGCATCGGACTCTTGGATTGGTTCATTCACGAACGTTTCGCCGGCAGAGTACGCACAACAAGGTACGTTCCGCAAGGTCTCCCTGTTACTCAGACCAAGTTAGGAAAGCGAAATTGAAACAGCAAGATACAGCCTTGTGTGAGGCAGAAACCTATCGGGAAGCATTTGGCTGTGAAACTTAAGGGAAAGTCTATATTTCGCTTTAATGTTTCACTGCTTTGTAGACCGTGTTTCCGCTCAGATTATAAATGATATGGAGCCTGGCCTTCAGGAGTTTGATTATTAAGAAGAGGCATACTAGTAAAAATTTTTTAATACTACGAAATATATCCTTATTTTGTGACCTATTCTATTATTTAGCTATTTTCGGACGTGCTGTACATTATTTTTGGCACATCTTTTATATACCTGTTTCTCCGCATACAGCCCCTTAAAGGGCTGATGTGTATATAATGTGTGTATTTTAGCTTTGCGTTATCAGTAATGATTATATGAAAAATTCTGCTGATAAACGAAAAATAAGTAATAATGGTTGATCTAGCTTACTTGGGACTCGAGGCGGATTAAAGTGCCAAGTGATACTTCTTCAATTCATCCTTGAAGGACAACTCATCAGCAAATTTTACGCCAATCAGCAGGCCCTGAACTATTTTTGGCATGGACCGCCTTTTGCTAAGATACCTGACAGGTACCGACAAGAATACCTGCTAGGAAGAAAAGAGGGCTAGGGATTATAGTTGAACATAAATGATTAACAAAACAGGGCGTCTGTAGGCCATACAATTTTCTCTTAAGTATGGAGACCAGGACGGTGTGGTCTTTTGTGTGGCCGCAGTCTCCTTTTGTTGTATAGAAGTAGTTTGACCTTGTTTTCACAACTTGGTCATATTGGTAGGAAGACCAATTGAAAGTATCTATAAATACCAACTCCAAGATAGCGCTTGAATTCAAAGTTACAAAGTAAATATAGCCTTTAAGGCACAACAGATCACTCTTAGTTAACAAAGAGGAAGTAGAAAATGTATTACAAGATATCCATCCCACACTAGTAGAGACCGGATATCGCAACTATCACATAACATCATAGAAGTGTAATTGTTTTAAATATGTTGCCTTTCCCTTCTCAGCGTCTCCACATTCCAACAGACTACGAT